GATGCAGACATAAAGGCGAGGATTGGCAAAGCTAGGACAGTATTCCTACAGTTGATGAACATATGGAACTCAAAACAACTGTCTGTCAACCAACATCAAAGTGAGAATCTTCAATACGAATGTCAACACAGTTCTATTGTACAGAGCTGAAATTTGAAGAACTACTACGACCATCATCAAAAAGTACAAGTATTTATAAACAATTGTCTACACAAGATACTCAATATTTGTTGGCTGGATACTATCAGCAACATCCTACTGTGGGAGAGAATAAACAAGCTTCCAGCTGAGGAGGAAATTAGAGAAAGAAGTTGGCAGTGGATAGGACATACATTGAGGAAATCATCAGATTGCATCACGAGGCAAGTCTTAACATGGAATCCTGAAGGGGAAAGGAGAAGAGAAAGACCAAAGAGCACACTGCGTTCGGAAGTGGAAGCAGACATGAAAAGGATCAGTAGCGACTGGAATGGGTTACCCAGGACAGAGCTGAATAGAGAATGGTGGTCGGTGGCCTATGTTCCTACACGAGTAGTAATAGGTGTAATTAAGTAACTCCGTCAAACTAAGGAGTAATAAACAAGTGAACCTCTTATTGACTGTGAAAGTTTTCGAATGTGGAAAGCAACATGTTTTTACATAATGATATCTTTACTCATGTGGCAAAGATATTCGGGATATTTATTGAAGCCTGATGATCCTATTTCTAGTTGATGTAGATTTATGCATTCTGTTTTGGAGAACCAATGTACTCCTTGAAGAAGTCTAGAGGGGCGCTGAAAACTCTGGATGACATTTCATCCGAGTAGCATTTAATAGAAGCTTCTCAGAAATATTTAAAAAGTGAAGGGCCATGTATCACGTTACTAATTGGATAATTACCTATGATGCTAATATGTTTGGTGTAGTTTCAGCAACTTTTAGAAACCGAACGGCATCTGCAATTTCATAAATACCCTTCATTTTGTGTACATAAACCAACCCCTTGAGTAAAACTTTCTTTCCACACTTCAAGCCTTTTTGTCTTGTGTTCAAGTTGCCGTGTAAATTTAGCCTAAGGTAATTAGAAGCGTCTAGGAAACTGATAAAAGCGTCCAGTTAGTAGGCTTATCTCACTCATTATCTTAGTGTCCATAATGAACAACCAGTTGTGATATACCGACTTATTTCACCGTTGTAGATATCGATTTTGTTGTTGTTATTCTGTTTGTAAAAATCTCAACTGTTGTTTCTCGCCCCAAATATGTTATTATATTGAATACCTTCTTATATTTGAATTCGATATCGTAACTGAATTCATGGAATTTTATGTCGCTTTGTTTATTCCAGGTATTCGAATGTGGACAAGCTTACGTAGCTCTTAGTCGGTGTCGTAATTTAAATGCTTTATATTTACTTGATTGGCGCCCTGAAGTGATTCGTGCAGATCCTAATGTGGTAAAATTTTATGCCAAAATTAGAGAGACAAATGATAAAATTATAAACAAGATTATATCATAATATTTTCATCATTTTCTTTTTCGATTTTTTTTTCAAAATGAAACTCTTTTTAAATTATTTTTTATGTGAATAAAATGAAAATTTACAAATGAATAAACTTGAAGTTAAGTTAGACGACTCTTATCTAATTTAGATAACTAAGCTGACTACAGTACATAGTAATGAACGTCCACTTATTTATCACTTACGACAAAAAATATGTAGGTCTTCATAATCCAGTCAATCACCAGAAGAAACATAAAGGGAGAAAGTAATCATTCTTGTCTGACATCCGCCCTCACTTGCAATGGATATGTCAGCTGTCCTACATGCACGACTTTGCCACTGCAGTCCGTCTTATGGATGCCGTATGATGTTGATGATCTTCTCAGGTACACCGTAGTGTCGCTCTCTCATAGTTAAAGAAGTTGATGTATAGTGACAAATTCTCTGTGCTAATGTGGTATGGCAACTCGAACTGATGTACGTACGTACGAAGTTCTATGTTGTAACTGACTGAGTGACAAATTCCATTCAATTGATTGCTCAACGATGATCTGTAGTGTCGCGATTTGGTCTGTGAACGACCGGTCCTCACGGAATCCGGCCTGCTGATATCAAAGCTGAATGTCCACTGAATTATTTATCCGATCCAACAACATTCTGTTGAAAGCTTTTCCTTGTACTGATAGTAGTGTGATGGCTCTGTAGCTCGCATACTAGCTCAGATCTTCTTTCTTTGATATCTTGATGAGGTATCTTTCTCTCCAGTCTGTCTGTGGCACTTGTCCTTCCTTCCAAATCTTCCTAAACAGAACATGGAGCATGTTCGCAGTTATATGTCTGACGTTAGTGCTTCGGCTGGCACATTGTCAGGTCCTGTTGCTTTTTCACCCTTGATTTGTCTGATAGCCATGTTGAGTTCTTCGATCGCTGGTGGAGTGACATCTATAGGAAGGACTGTGTGTTGCTTCGATGTCCGGTTGGTTTAGTGGAGCAGTTTTATGCCAAAGTTCTTAAAAGTATTCTACTTACCTGTTACTCCGTTCTTGAATCTCAGTGATTGTTTTGCCTCCTTTGTCATTGACTGGTCGTTCTGGTTTACTGTATTTCCCTGCTAGTTTCTTCGTTGTGTCATACTTACTTCTCTTGCAGCTTTTTCCGCTGTCGTTGGTAGTTCTTCCACGTATTTCTGCCTGTCGGCCCCAATGCTTTTCTTCACTTGCTTGTTTACTTCTGTGTATTCAGCTTGTGCCTTGACTTTCTCTATTCTGCTGTTATTTGCTGTCTTTTAGTTCGTCATTTTTTGACTTTTAACTTGACAACTTGACTTCTGCCTAGGGTTTCGACAGAAATCCATTCCTTGTGATAATGCTTCTTGCGACCGAGCACTCCCGACACGTTGAAGTTAGTACTTCTGTGATCCTTTTTCACTTGTCCTCCGTAGTAGTTTCTTCTTCATCCAGTAAATCTTGTAAGGCTTGGAACTTGTTGCAGGGAGTTATCTTGAATTCGTTGAGTTTGTCAGTATCTCGAAAGAAGGCTGTATTGAACCTTTGTAATACTGTTTCTCCAGCTGTCCAGTGCTTCTCTAGCTTCAGTATCATCTTGACAATCACTAGATGGTGATCTGAAGGTATGTCAACTCCTCTTTTGGTTCTTACATCATTCAGTGACCTGAAAAGTTTAGTGATGCAAATATGGTCGACCTGATTCTCTGTAGTGTGATCCGGTGAGACCCATGTAGATTTGAGTATGCGTTTGTGGGATGTGGGATGGGAATATAGTACTACCCATAACCACTTTGTTGGGTGCACGTAAATCTGCAAATCTCTCGCCATCGTCATTCCTTTCTCCCAGTCCATGTCTTCCCATGATACCTTCATACCCGGTGTTGTCCATTCCTACCTTGGCGTTTAGGTCTCCCATCAGGATGGACAGGTCCTTTCCGGGACACTTCACTATGACCGATTGTGTCCTCTCGTAAAACTGACCTTTACCGTCTTCATTGCTATAATTGGTGGATGCATAACATTGGATAAGATTCATTGTGATCTCGTTCTTCTTTGTTTTGAAGGATGCTTTGATGATTCTGGATCCATGAGATTCTCATCCTATAAGTGTTTTCCATGCTTCTTTGGACAGCATCAGAGTAGCTCTCTGAGTGTGTGGAGCATTTTCTTCTTCATGACCAGAGTACAACAGCATCTCTCTCGAACTTCAAATTTTGATCCAGATTGGATCAAATGGGTTTCACTGATTCCGAGCACCTCCAAGTTGTATCTCCTCATTTCCGTAGCTATTTGACTGGTCCTCTCAGTCTCCCACATCGTCCAGACATTCCATGTACCTATATTAATTGTTGTTGTGGTTGTTAGAAGGGGCATCGACCTCGTGACTTTTGAATGATCTTTCAACTCGGAGAGCAGAGTTTAATTTGGTTATTCTGGTTAGCGTTTTCCAGCAAGTTTTTTTTTTAACAGAATGGGGTTGTTGACTATGTGTCCGACTCTCCTCCTTTACTCGGGTTTGGGACCGGCATTAGCCGTAGAAGGGCTACTGACTGAGTTTTACTCATTACGTGCATGGAAATGAGTCATAATGATGGTGTTGAATTCGTTAAGATTTCATCTGATTGTTGTTATTTAATCATAAGTATATTTAAGTTACGTACCGAAATAAAATTATTCAGATAGTTCCAATGGTTTTACTGTTGACCTAAAAGTACTAATCAATTTGTCGCTGTCATTGTGAGAACACTCTTAACACTAGAACGAATGTTTTACGCATTACTTCTCATTGTAACGTATAAAACATTTTTACGGTCACATTTACGGTTATTGGCCCCGAATGCCCTGGTACGGCCGAGAGTGGGAAGAGTCAACTCTTCCTCTCCAAATGCTCTCACATGGCCACGCGTATATAGCCTCTGACAGGGAAGTCCTTTACACTGCCTCGTGGCGGGCGTGTTCTTTACAAAATTGAGAGGACGGAAAGCGAATGCCCGGCGCTTTAACCGGGTTGGTGGATGTGGAGTGTCCACCTAGGGGTGTTGAAAAACCCTGATTCCATACCAGTTGGTGCACATGGGCTCCCGTATCCTGAAGGAACAAATGGCGTATGAACCAATTATTGGTCACCGGCTACCATGTGACTACATCTCCTTACGTTCCTCCACTGCCTTGTGTATTAGACCTTTAGGTCAAAGGCTCTGGGTGTGGCCCCCTAAGAAAACCACCTGCTTCAGCCTAGGCACCCAGGCAGTATCCCAGCCCCCACACAAATCGAATGATTTATGTGGTTCATATCTATTTGGTGCTTCCTTGTACCAATGTTTATATGTTTAGATAGATAAATAGGTTTCCTATTACACTACTTACCTCCTATATTTTAATTTCTATTTATTGTACATGTCTCTTATAATTTTATCTTAAATGCACATATCAGTCCCCAGAAAAAACACTTTATCATTCAGTCAGCGAGACCATAGTTTATGGACGAACCAATCAGATATAAGATAACAGGTATCGGATCTTGGTGCGAAATTCACTCATCCATTTGGCTGAGTAGATAAATGATAGGTTTAATGTGAATAATAGCCAATCAAGGTTTAGGTCTACACAGGACAAGCTGTGAGTCGTATGTAGAGAAACTCGAACATGTCACTTGCAACTGAAGTTTGTGCTGGTGATGTCGTTCAGAATAACGATGAGAGCTTCACGACCAAACTATCCAGCACAGACAACGAAACTCCACCAAAAAGTAGTTATTAAGTATCAATGAGCTAGTTGAAACATAATTATTGGAAGGTGAAATCGGTGATCACCATAGTTCACTATCTATGGTTAAACCATAAAATACTTTATGGTTGAAAGTTCACAAATGGATAATAAGGTAGGAAAATGTGAAGCTGCTAGTTGTTCGTTCTGTAAGAATGAATGTTCATTCCATGTATGTATCAAACACTTTACATTACTGTTGAGTTTTTTCGGACTTCAAACTTATTTTGGCAGAAAATTGTCTTGCCGGTTTGGTTGGATCAGGTCAATTCTTTAAATGACTCAGGAAAATATATTCATCTAATAATCCAGAACCTTAGCGAGTGAAATATCACGAGCAACTTGACGAGTAGTCATACGTGGTGAATGCCTTGAAACACATCAAAACACGATGGATATAATTCCACAAACGGAACAGACTAAATCTATTTAGGCGAGCCTATATTGAAATGTCAAACGATAAGAATGGTAAATTAAAAGAGCAGAGACATTAGAATAATCAATACTATCTGAATCTACTTAGTAGTTACTGAACACATAAGAAATCAGTAGTAGATACCGAATTGTTATTATTTCCAGACTAAACAAGACAACGTATGACATAGTACGACATGTATACTATACACGATAAGTTTATGTCAATACAAGGAAAAACTTTAAAAAGTTATATAGAAGAGGTAAAATGTCGCCTACAAATGTGATTAGGAAAAAACAGTGGATTAAACTAAAAATGAAAACAGATTATCTCAATTACTGTATAGTCGTAGAAGTCAACTGACAAAGACAATTCATCAATATGTCGTAGTATATTCAATAGTGGCAGTTTTAATATTTTATAAAATGAAATCCCTTCCCCTTTTATCATCTAAAATAATTACGAAGGAATAAAAGTAGGTATTTCAATGTAAAACTACCAAATAAGTGTCTGTCTTATGCGTTGTAAGTGTATGTGATAGTGTAAATGGTATATAAACAATCTTCTAATTTACTGCATAAAGTGTGGAAAAAAACAATAAGAATAGAGAAATGATAATGATTTCTGTTGAAAAATTAAGGCACCAGTGAATAATGTGACAAAAAGGGGGTTGCATATATCCATATGTACAAATAGGGAGATTGGAAGATAAGATTGTGTAATACTGCCGATCATTGTATTTTAAAGAAAAGTTACAAATAAAAAAGAATAATACTAATTGGAGATTGTTTATAAAAGTGAATTGTCAAAATGATATGGTTCATTGTTTAAGAAAAAGTATACTCATGAGCATACGTTCATTATGTATGTATAAAAAAAAATTAACATGGTAATAATAATAAAGCATAAACAAGGAAAGAGTGAATTCAACAAGTTTATTTATTTCATCATAAGTCCGTATCTCGTGAAACTCCACTTAAACGAACATAAGGAGAAGTACCTCTGAAATTTCTGTTCATCATCAACATACCGGAATAATTACTTTTATTACTGTGAACACTATTCACTGGACTTCTTGCAGATGTTTGTGCTGTATTCACAGATTTTTTCAACGTCGGTTTAGTAGAAGTAACTGTTCTAGTCGATGATGAGTCCGAATCTTGTAGTTGTACATATTCTGATTTCGGCAAGATAACTGGTTGCAAATAAAAATTTTTCTGAACATATGCTGTAGGAACATAACCTATTTCTTGCGTCCGCTGTTTACGGCATACATGAAGCCAATCAGTAGTATCTTCCGTTGGATCAGTTGCCAAAATATAAAATTCTTCATCAGCCTCAAATGCTAAATAACACGATTCAAAACCATCGCCTAGTAATAATTTTATTCAAAAAAAAAGCAAGACAGATTAGATTATTATAAACTCATTTATATAATATATATTCATTTGAATATAATGGCGCGTAAGGCCATCAGTGGAGAAGCGATTGGAGCTGGCTAGTGGGATGAGCCTGCCCACATCAACCAGGAGAGGGCCGCAAATCCTTTCAACCAAAAGCATCCATAGTATGCACGGCATCAAGATTATCAATAGCGATTTCCTCCTTCTTACTCATTTATGCCCCCAAATGCCTCGGTACGACCGAGGGTGGGGAGAGTCTGCTCTCCCATGGCTGTCGGAGAAGTTTTACTCACTGTCTTCTCGCGACGGGGGGTATGGTTTGAGAAATTGAGAGGACAAAAAGCGAAGGTCCAGTGCTCAAACTGGGTTGGTTGGTTTTAAGAGTTTATCTAAGGGAGTTGGAAAACTCTGGTTCCAAACCAATGATGCACATGGGCTATATGATACGACGTATAGATTTATTCTTGGTCACCGGCCAACATGGGACTACATCTCTTAACATCGCTCGACTGCCTTATGGATCAGACCTCTAAGTCAAAGGTTCAAGGAGTAATCCGCTAAGGAAACCACCTGCCTCGGTTCGGGCACCCAAACAATATCCAAGTCCTCACACATTTTGTGTGGCGTATATCTATTTTGGTGCTCTTTTGTACTAATGTTCATGTGTTCAAGCAAATAAAATATAGAATACAGTGTTTCAGTAATGTCACATTAAAAAATATATTGCAACACAATCACACCTTTTTAAAATCATTGTGCGAATAAAATTCATTGGAAGTCGATGAGAAAAAAACACTATGACTATCTTTCTAGAGAATAATAATGTACGTATACGGATAATTTGAAGATAGCTTAATATTGAGAGTTATATAAAATATTGTAGCACATCAAAAAGTGCTAATTATAAAGTGATCAATTGAGAAATTTTTCTGTATAGATCAATTGATATAATTAGTTTCGTGAGTAATACAGCCTATTGAAATAGTCTAGGTTATTTTACCAGCAAGGGTCTTATTGGGCCGGGATATAGATTCTCGAAATTTATGAGATACATGCGATTAAACATCTACAATCCCACTACTACACTACAAGTCTTTATCCGATTGAATAATTGGAGAAAAACAGGATATATGGATCGGGAGCTTCTTCAAGTTTAGTTTAGCTACAGCAGCCAGATGTATAAATATTAATAAATATGACTGTGAAGTTTAATATATCCTGGGGGGTAACCTATGCTCCTCCGCGAGGGACGACAGGCATAAGTGACGTTCAATAAACTTTATTTAAAAAAAAAACAAGTTAACGACTTATAAGCTCGATCAATCAAAACAGAAAGAACATAAATATGTCTTGTTTAAGAATGTAGCAAAAGCACTGATTAATCAGACAAGTTTCGTGCATTTCATGGCTTCTGTGAAATTCGGAGCGAAAAAAACCAATATTTTTCTACCCGATAGGTCTTATCGATTTAGATTAAGACAAGTTTTGAAGAAAAATCAGTATGACAAAACAGGGTTGTGTACACATGCCTTTATTCAAAAAACAGATGGTGACGAACTAACACTTGTTAGTAGTTAGCCACCAAGCCCTCTTAGTTTCTGATGTCATGAACATGGGAATTATAATTTATAGATCCTTGATTCTCAATAAACTTGAGTTGAGTATACTCCATGGTATATTTTAAGTATTACTGATGAGCGTTGAACTGACCGGTTTCATTGTAGCAAAAAACAGTAGTTCAATATTTTAAACTTACACAAAATGCGTTACACAACATAAAATCGTCTATGTACTAAGCACGGTAGAACTTCACAAATATATATTTTAAGAACAAACGGACAATTTTCGAGATTATAACCATTTAGGTATTATGTAGCAAAATGAATCGTAAAATACCAAGGCCAATTAGGTATAAATGGTTTATAATTGGGACGGTTCATATTTCAATATATCAAGTACAAAAAAAGTGTTTTTTTTTAAGACAAACTAACAGAAAACTGAGTTTTTTTTAAAAATAAAACGGTAATTTTCTAAATAACCATAAAGTGTATTTTTATCCATGTATTGGTGGTGGAATTACCCGCCTTAAACTAATCACTGAGAAATGAGGAGCATTATATCGTATTCATATATAGTCTTTTTTGAAATAAGCGCAGGATTCTTCATTTTGAGGGATTATAGCTTATTCATTAGTAATAAACCAACTGGTATATATATATATACCAGTTGGTTTATTACATTTTGCATTCCGAGGGGGGGGGAATCGCATCCCGAACATGCCAGTATTGCTGCTCATAGTGGTCAGACGATTCTGCATGTTGTCAGCGTCTTCACCAAATAAAACTATGTCATCGGCATATTTGAATTCAACAAGTGAGTCTCCTAATAGAACTTCAATCCCTCTAAATTTAGATGAGGAAAGTGTTATTTCTAAAGGCACGTCTACGTTAAAGTTAAACAAGAATGGAGAGTGGACAGCCCTGAAGAACACTACTTGAGGTAACCAATTCTGATGACAGTTCGCCATAAGCTCTAACTCGACCAGTTGTGTTCGAGTTGAGAGCTTTTATGAGGTTAATGTACTTCTTTGGTACTCCTTTCAGTGACAAACACTGCCATAGAAATTCACGATCAACGGAGTCAAATGCCGCCTTAAGGTCAAGAGAAACTACGATTGTGGGACGTCTGGATGTGTGTCTATGTTCTAGAACCTGACGTAGAGTGAACATCTAGTCTATACAACCACGTCCAGGTCAAAAACCAGCCTAGTTTTCTCTAGTCTGCTCTTCAAGAGTTTTGGTTAGGCGTCGAAGTTTTATTGAAGCATATATTTTAGACACTATATTAGTCAAACTGATTCCTCTGTGACTGTCACAAGAGGACTTTTATCCTTTCTTATAGACTGGCATAATCAGTGATTGGGACCAGTAAGATGGAGTTACATCCAGTTCCCATATTCTACCTAAGACCTCAGTCAATTTTGCTGCTAGTATTGGACCGCCATCCTTAAAAATCTCAGGAGTAAACCTGTCAGGGCCTGCTGCTCTCCCACACTTTAGATTTCCTATAGCTTTTTCAACCTCATAGAGAGTTGGAGGACTTACATCAATTTGCCATTCAGGACGACTGGAGGTCGTGGAAAACCGGTGGGTGGCTGAAGACTAATTAAAATGATGACTTAAATGTTCTGCCCATCGATCCAATCTCCTGGATTGAGAATGAATGATATATCCATCTTTTTCCGAAATAGTTTTGCTGATAGTTGGGTTCCTAATACCAGTTTTCCTAACAACTCTGGACAGTTGTCTGCTGATGCCTGTTGCCGCTGCGTTTTCCATCTCTCTCGCTTTCACTACCCACCACTGTTCGCAATCATTGCGTAGGCTTCTTGTTAGCCTGCGCTAAAGCTGACTCCGCTCTTCGTTATGTTCAGAGCCAGATGGGATGATGCTACTCAGATTTGTATGCGCGTTTCGGAGACGCAGCATACATCGATGGCGCGAGATTCTAAAGCCCTAGCTAAGGAAGCCTAATATCAATTCCGGATTGCCCACGCCGTGAAAGGGTATTTCTTGAGGGACCTCAAAAGGAAGTTGGATTAGTGTTGGTCATAACGACCTGGGAGCGTGACCGCAGGGCCCAAGAGACAACTGCTTGAGGTCGGTCACGCACGGCCTTTTGTGGGAGGTTTTTGACGTTTTAGCTCTGTTCTTCAAAGGGCTTTACCATCTGAGACGGAAATCCGTGAGGTAAGGTGAGGCTTGACCTCTTCTAACCCCTTCCTTCCTTGTGAGAAGGCATCATCGCTGCAGGTGCCGGTTGTCCGAGGGAAACACCTTACTGCTGTCACACCCCTCTACAGTCAGCAGTACGACTTCGCCCTCAGATCTTGAGTTGCTGCTTTTAGTCTTCCTGTTCTTCAACCGAGCTGCCTGGCATGGTATGACCTACAGGAACATATATTCCAGTCAATATAGCTCGGTTGTGTCATCGTGATAGGCTAGCCCGACCATCACGCCAAGGTAGCAGCTACGACAGGATAATATATTTCCAGTCATAGATAAAGACTCCATTTGTTCACTGAATCTTCAGTAATAATGTTATACAAATATACATGCACAAGGTACATATCACATTTGAACGCATTTCACGTCAAACAAAAAATTTAGATTTGCACACAATTAGACAAATTTAGTATAGATTTAGTTTATGCCTTATTTACCTACGAAGGAACGAAAACGGTGAGAGATTTGCAAACCTATGTGCCTTCAATAAACTGGTCATAGGTGGCACCATATTCCCACACAAAAACATACACAAAGCCACTTGGATTTCACCGGATCACACTACACAGAATCAAATCGACCATGTCTGCATCAACAAAAAGTTCAGGAGGACGATGGAGGATGTGAGAACCAGGAGAGGAGCTGATATAGCATCCGATCACCATTTGCTGGTCGCCAAGATGAAACTAAAACTCAAGAAGCACTGGACAATGGCGCGGACAACATCACAAAAGTTTAACACGGCCTTTCTTCGAGATGCTGACAAACTCAACGAATTTAACATAGCCCTCAGCAACAGGTTCCAGGCCTTTCATAACCTACTCAATGAAGAGGGAACCACCATAGAGAGCAGCTGGAAAGGTATCAAGGAGGCAATCGTTTCAACATGTCAGGAGGTTCTGGGCCAAAAGAAGCACCATCACAAGGAATGGATCACTGTTGGTACACTGGATAAAATTGAAGCAAGGAGGAACAAGAAGGTAGCAATCAATATCAGCCGAACAAGAGCAGAAAAAGCCAAGGCACAAGCCGAATACACAGAGGCAAACAAGCAAGTGAAGAGGAGCATCAGGACCGACCGACGTAAATATGTGGAAGATTTAGCGATGACAGCGGAAAAGGCTGCAAGAGAGGGAAACATGAGACAACTGTATGATACAACAAAGAAACTTGCTGGAAATTACCGTCAACCAGAAAGACCAGTGAAAAACAAGGAAGGCAAAGTAATCAACGATATTGAAGAACAACGAAACAGGTGGGTAGAACACTTCAAAGAACTCTTGAATCGACCAGCTCCAATGAACCCACCCAACATCGAAGCAGCACCCACAAACCTCCCAATCGATATTGGCCCACCAACAATTGAAGAGATCAGCATGGCCATTAGACAAATCAAGAGTGGCAAAGCAGCGGGACCAGACAACATCCCGGCAGAGGCACTGAAAGCAAATGTAACAGCAACTGCCAAGATACTCCACATCCTCTTCGGTAAGATTTGGGACGAAGAACATGTACCAACAGACTGGAAAGAAGGACTTCTCATCAAGATACCAAAGAAAGGCGATCTGAGCAAGTGCGACAACTACAGAGGCATCACTCTCCTCTCAATACCAGGAAAAGTCTTCAACAGAGTATTGTTAAACAGGATGAAGGATTCCGTGGACGCTCAACTTCGAGATCAACAAGCTGGATTTCGTAAGGATAGATCGTGCACAGATCAAATCGCAACTCTACGTATCATTGTGGAACAATCAATCGAATGGAATTCATCACTGTACATCAACTTCATCGACTACGAGAAGGCATTTGATAGCGTGGACAGGACGACACTGTGGAAGCTTCTTCGACACTACGGTGTGCCTGAGAAGATAGTAAATATCATACGGAACTCCTATGATGGACTAAACTGCCAAATCGTCCACGGAGGACAACTCACCGACTCGTTCGAGGTAAAGACCGGTGTTAGGCAAGGTTGCCTACTCTCACCCTTTCTCTTTCTCCTGGTGATCGACTGGATTATGAAGACGTCAACATCTGGAGGAATGCACGGGATACAGTGGACAGGCAGGATGCAGCTTGACTATTTAGACTTCGCGGATGATCTGGCTCTTCTATCACAAACGCAACAACAAATGCAGGAGAAAACGACCAGTGTAGCAGCAGCCTCAGCAGCAGTAGGTCTCAATATAAACAAAGGGAAAAGCAAGACTCTCCGATACAATACAATATGCACCAATCCAATTACACTTGACGGAGAAGCTTTGGAGGATGTGGAAATCTTTACATATCTGGGCAGCATCATTGATGAACACGGTGGATCAGATGCAGATGTGAGGGCGAGGATCGGCAAAGCAAGAGCAGCATACCTACAGCTGAAAAACATCTGGAGCTCAAAACAATTGTCAACCAACACCAAGGTTAGAATTTTCAATACAAATGTCAAGACAGTTCTTCTGTATGGGGCAGAGACGTGGAGAACTACGAAAGCCATTATTCAGAAGATACAAGTGTTTATTAACAGCTGTCTACGCAAGATACTTCGGATCCGATGGCCAGATACTATCAGCAACAAGTTACTGTGGGAGAGAACAAACCAGATTCCAGCAGAGGAAGAAATCAGGAAGAAGCGCTGGAAGTGGATTGGGCACACTTTGAGGAAATCACCCAATTGTGTCACAAGACAAGCCCTCACATGGAATCCTGAAGGTCGAAGGAGAAGAGGAAGACCAAAGAACACATTACGCCGAGAAATAGAGACAGACATGAGAAGAATGAACAAGAACTGGAAAGAACTAGAAAAGAAGGCCCAGGACAGAGTGGGTTGGAGAAAGCTGGTCGGCGGCCTATGCTCCATTGGGAGTAACAGGCGAAAGTAAGTAAGTAAGTAAGTTATTTACCTACGACACGAACCATTCGGTCAGTTAATTAACGTAGGACTTGACACATACGTGAATCGGTCAACGCTGCCACATATTAGCAAAATCAGGTGAAACTAACAAGATTAATTTCAAGCGAATCGCAATAATAGTAAGAAGGATTAAACACTCAAAATAATGACTACAACTGTAACGCAAGCTCTAACCAGATAGTCTTCAGCTCTTGAACTGATGTCACTTATTCGTTTGACTCCTAGCTTACTTCCAACCCAATTCTACATCTTACGTCAAAGTAGGTTATGATTTGACACATAAGTGACATATTTTTCAGTCACGTTATTTGATGAAAACTCACTGCCCTACTAATCGATATGACAAATTAACTTGAATAATGCTAACGAAAAAGTACATTTCCATTGGATAGTGTAATAAGAAAACAAAGATTATCGAACAAATGGAAAGTAAGAGGAAACAAAGATAATAAGGAAAATAATGTTCAAGACAATTTTAAGTTCACCACGCTGGAAAATAAACTAATATTACCAAGGCAGGTTTACGATGAAAACAAACTGCTTTCGAATAAATAAATAAAATTTATAATTATCAGAGGGGTTTTTGTGGAGATTTAGTATATTTTATAGTTTAAAGCGTGAGTCAATTGAAGCTAGACCACATGGAAAACCTGGAAACACTGGACGGCCGTTTCATTCTATTATGGGACTCCTCAGCAGTGCGCATCCACGAACCCGCACTCGCGAGATTCGAACCCAGGACCTACCAGTCTCGAGCCGAAGCCCTTAACCGACAGATCACTGAGCTGGCATCAAACGGTGTTAATGTCTAACTTCAACTGATCCACGAAGTTGAGCAACCATTCACCAATTATCTTCAGTGAGTTCCTATCTCACAACAGACGTGGTTTTGAACTCACTGGAGTCCCATAATAGAACGAAACGGCCGTCCAGTGTTTCCAGGTTTTCCATGGTGGTCTAGCTTCAATTGACTCACGCTTTAAATTATGAAATAAAATTTAGTTTTTTGTATGGGCAAAGCTTCAATCAACTTTTGTATACGTCCTTTAACACTTTTGTACAACACCACAAAAGCCGTGTTAAGATTATTCTTATGACCTGTTTCAACAATATGTTTGAGAATGGGAGACAGTGGATATTTATCATCTACTCTTATTGAGTTATTTGACTGTATTTGCTTTTTTTAAACAATTAGTTACATGTTTAAACACCCTAATTTGCAAATCATGATTAGTTCTCCCTACATATATGTGTGGCCACACACACACATGGAGACTGATGAGTATAGTACGTTGTGACATAATTGTTCAGCGTAAAATCTAGACGGTATGAAACTGATCATTTTCAGTCCTAAACATCAATAGAAAAAATCAAGCAACTAAAACAAATGAATTAGACTAATTGTTTTACATTTTCTATTGGATCGAATGTAATCTAAACCATGTCTAAAATATAAAAAAACGTTTTTTATTCCAAACCAAATTTATAATCAGTTACAAAATTTATTCTAATTTCAATTACATGTTATTCACTTGTAATTGAAGTACGTTTTATGCAACAAAACACATTTGTCACTCTTCGTTTTTTGGTTAGTGACTATGCCTAAAATTGAGTCACTATATATACAAAAATTGAATTCATCAAACCAGTTAAAGAATAAATAGTAATGGTATAAATAATTAATCCATTACACAAGCATTACTTTTTATTTATTTAATCAAGCAATTTAATAATGGTCTAAACATATTCACACAGTTAATATACATTGTAAGGTAATGTTATACATATTATTCAATGAAATGTTTTTATTTTCTATGAAAAAAAAAATCAATAATGACAGATATTATTGATCTATTGGAATTATGAGTAAAGTTTTAAATCAGAAGGGGTTTTTGTGGAGATTTAGTATTTTCATAGTTGAAAGCGTGAGTCAATTGAAGCTAGACCACCATGGAAAACCTGGAAGCACTGGACGGCCATTTCGTCCTATTATGGGACTACTCAGCAGTGCGCATCCACGATCCCGCACTCGCGAGATTCAAACCCATGACCTACCAGTTTCAAATAGAAATCAATCACATAAACCATAAATCTTAACAGATTCTCTGAGTAACTTTTAATACTGAAGATTTGCTATGATCTTAAAGTTTTAAAAACAAGTTTTCCGCTTATTTTTCATATATTGTAAAAGCGAATTAAGGATAACAGAGTGATTAGAGATTTATTGGATGAGTCACTGAGTCCTGATGTAACCGAATGATAGTAGTATAGTCTGATATTTTATGGATTGGAGTTGGTCTAGTAACATTTTGATCCATCTAGATCTACATATGCCAAACTGTGAAAAATAATTTTTAGAAGGGAAATCTCTTTAGTCTTTCAAACTCATGTTAACTTTCTGAGTAAATGAACTATTCCTAAAATATTTTTATATATTGTCAGTATATTATTCAAAAGAGAAAAACTGGAAGTGTGATGCAAAGTTGAAAAGTCAGATGAAAATTAATTCCGGATTTTACTTCTTAGAGATGTGATGATTCTAGAATTTAACAATATCAACATTACCAAGCAATCCAGCTTTCCGATAGTAAGATTTCAGTGGATTAGTATAGGTTTTATGAATTTTTGTCGTCTATAACGAACATCAATGAATGACACATGAAGCATAAAAATAAAATAACATTCTACGATAGGTTAAGTGGGCTTCAAGGCTGCTAAACGAAGGCCTACTCCGACCGACTATGAAACAACTGCCTGTGAGTTTGGACAGTATCGAGGTTCATATTCATACTATCAGATGATAAGCAACAACTATAAAATCTGGCACAGGAAAATCAATGGAAAGATATGAGAGACATGTCATGCTAATGTAGGGTATGTGAATATCTACAAATTTAGCAATCAAATAATATCCTACATTACTGACTAGATGATTACATCATGGCTCAAATCAGTATAAAAATGAATATTAACACAACTTCGATAATATACATCAAAATTTGAAAAACGAGATAAAGTAGAATCTCCATCTCGTTACCTGTAAATGGATACAAGGCACTGCAATCACCAATAGCAACAAACTGTGATTCTTTTGATTGTCTATTATTATTATTATCTTGTTTGTGATAACAACTAGGAGATATTGAACAAATGGAATCAATATTATCAACTGAAGCTTCAGTTATTCGTTGTTCATGTTTAAGGTGATGACGTAATGACTGGTCCTGTTGTTGACACTTTTGTAGTTGTGAGTACCAAAGTCCTTGCTGTTCATGCTTTTTTAAGAGATTTTTATTATGATTATATAAAACTTGATCAGAATTTTTTAATTCAAAATGATTATAAGATGAATTCATTTGAGAATAGATTAATGTGTCATTACTGTGATTAGAGTCTAAATTATTATGGTAAGAATCTCCATTTATTGTTGAACATCTACTATTATCGTCATTATTAGTAATTGTAGGTCTATTAGTGAGTAAATTTTGTTTTAAAGTAGGCATTTGAACATTCAATGATTCAGGTAGTTGACTAAGTGATGAGGTTAAAGTTGATTGTGAAAATGATTCAACTGGAGTTACAATAGAACCAGTTTCTGGTTCAGCTAAAGGAGCAGTAAATAATTTATCCTGTTTTAATAATTGTTTGGAGGAACCACCATTTTCCATTGGTTTCGACTTTCCTGATGTAGAAAGGTAATAAAGAGGGATGGAAGACCTTTCATGACCTGAAGATAAACCTATCGCTTGAGAGTCAGAACGAGAATAAAGAGATGATGAAGGAGTATGAGTTGTTGTTATTGTTGTTATCGTCGTAACAGGAAGAACAGCAGCAACCGCAGCACCTTTTGGAGCGTCAGGAGATTGACATGACGATGCCATGGACTGAGGTAGTCCATTTAGGACAGACGTTGATGCATAAGCTACATTATCGCTGTCAGTAGTTGAATGAATTCTTAATTGTCGTCTATAAGTGTTATTGTTGATAGTTGTTTTATTTCCATGAACATTATTTCCTAATTCAGAATTCGAGTCAGAGAAATCACTGGGATCTACAACAGAATTGTCTCTTGACCTACTAATATTACCAGTAATTCTAGAATTATGAGTTGCTCTCCTTTTTGAGTCAAACAGACTAGATAGAAAAAGTAAATTAAAAAACAACATTTAGAACTGCTGATGTTATCTGAAATCATTAACTCAAATAGAAATCAATCAAATAAACCATAAATCTTAACTTTTAATATTGAAGATTTGCTATGATCTTAGGTCTCCTTGAAACAGATCTTCTTCTCCTTTATCACAAATACACTTTTCTTCCAGTCTTTTAAGTTCAGTATAATTTATGATAACGTATGAATCCCCTCACACTAAGACAATGTCATCCGTATACCCAAGATCGAAGTCTTTTTCCAGGTGGCCAACCATAAGTCAGGTGGTGATCCGAATTCCGCTTTTGATGATAAATATTAAAACTAGCAAATAGTAAGTTTAGAAATCAAGATAATCAACAAGTCTTTGAGAAGTAATTAACTGACATTGTTTATACTGAACTTTACAGACCATTATCATTCCCTATAAAACAGAACCATGTATATTGTGCAATTGTTAAATATGCATTCAGTTTTATAAACTGAATAAAGTATATAACTGTCTATCATGCAGTAGACATGACATGGTTAAAAGCACTTCTCAATAACTAATCATTATCCTTTTAGCTCAGGAATTGATTTCAACTAGATAACCATTGAAAACCGGGAAGCATCAGATAGCTATTCAATCCTAGTAAGGACACCTTAGTAGTGAGCATCCGCAAATTACCAGGGAACAAACCCAGGACCTATGATTTCGTGTCGCGCGCTTAACAACGAGATCACTGAGGCTCCATCCAATGACGTACATGTCTAATTTTAACCAGTTAGCAATATAGTACAACCATTAATAATTATTCGCTAATTTACAAATTGATTTAGACAATTTAGCCAAACTACATTTTTAGGACAGACAAAATCGTGAGGACCATTATGATGATTGGATAGTTTTGTTCTGTTGAAAACTGAAAATTCGGTTTGTAACTTACACTACTCACTGTGTTTGTTAAAATACACATCGCAACTTAAAATAAATCCAAATTTATAGCAAAACTCTCATATTTCAATGATTTCATAGAGTACAACACTGATACGCAAATACATACGTATCAATTATAAATATATGGTGGGGGAGATTTCGCTTTTTTAAAAGCTGTGTTATTGAGTTTAATTAGGTGATGAAGTACGACCCTTCGTTTAGAGAAAATAGCTAATTTTGTCGTTCAATCAGTGAGTTCTGAGTACTCAGTGACATAACTGTTCTGACGATTACCGATCGTAAGAGTGAATACAAAAACGGCTGAATATTTTCACTAAACCGACGCAAGAGTTGTTTTAACGTTTTGATCAATAAAGAATGTAAATTGGTATTTGGATGCATATTTACAACTAGGTAATCAAATACATATTTGTATAATCGGCTGCTAGACAATTTTCAAGGACCTATGATGCATCAAAGCTACCTCGACTACACAAGATCAAGCAGGGCTGAAATAAGTTATTTAAAACCAGTTAGATTGGGAATCGGAGATTAATGATGCGAGTAAATTTATAATTCGTTTACCTTAGCCATTTGAGCAGTTTTATAAGTCAATCACACACTCATAACAACACTAATCTGATATCAGATGGTTAGAGCTGAAACATATTACCGCTTAGGCCTAGGATTTCGTGCTCGTTGCCATTTGTCAGTCAAATCGCAACTTCATCCGACAGCTTTATTTTTCAAAGAGAAGTTAGATAAAAGTGATATTAGTTACTAATCAGTAATTAATTAATGTCGATGTCATATTATAGTTCACTGAACTAATCGTATGAACCATAGCTGGAAATAAGTCATGATGTGAAGTATAGCGCACCTACGAAAGGTTTATATCAATAGTACTTCACATCCTGAGACAATAACCACAGATTCCTAATTTTGTGTGCAACTTTAAATAATAATACAGATTAACATCCTAACAGACATAGTGAATGAAATTATCGGCTGTAGAAACACTAATGAAAGAGAAATTTATATATACAAACTATCTTTTGTATGTTCATGCAAACAAAACTAATCATTACTGTTTGTCTGAGTGTTCATTTACCAGGTTAAATATTTATGACGGTTCTATAATTTAACTAGATATAGTGAATAAATATAATAACTATTATTATTATTATTCAAATATTTTGTGTAATTCTCTCACATTAAATATTACTTAAATGAATAATAAACCTATCCTATTTTAATTTGATACGAAAACACATTGATGAAGATATAAAAATCAAAATATTATAGTTTTAAAAACTTTAATCATATTTCAAAGTGCTCTATTAATGTCAGCAATTCAGTTTATAAAAACAAACATAAAACTTTATTCCTAATGACTTTTGTTGATAAAATTTTGTTTGAAATAAATCAGGCTTGTAATAAGTATTATTCCCAATTGATTGATCGATAGCATTCGATCAGCACTAAGAAGGACTTGACACGCATGACACTGATCACCACCCAGTGATCAATCAATTGTGGTTACATCTCAGTCCTACAGGAGGTCGGTCGCGGCCCGAATAGCTCAGTGATAACGACTCTGACTGTGAAGCTGGGTGACACAGGATCGAATCCGTCAGGGAGCACCAGTTCCCTCAAGATTACAGGTACATCTTGCTGACGAGTGCCAAGTAGCAGGAAACCCGGGTCCAGGGTTTCCTGTTGACTACCTACAACCACCATCTCATGTATTATTCCTATTTTTCAGAAACACTTGTTTTGTGGTAGAGAAATAACATGACTAATAATTAATATTTGGTAATGCTGTCAAAATAAAGTCAAATAAATATTTCAGGTGAATTATAAATCTTTTTTGGTACAAAATTAAAGATTATTGATCATTGCTATCTGAATTTGAAAGTAAACTTCATTAAAAGCTGACATGAGATGGATAGTGAATTGATAAACCAAACAGCAATTCATAGCTATTTAGTTCTTTTTTAGAACTCCTCAACAATATCTATTTTCTTCTGTTTCCCGATATGAGATTGAAATCAGATCTCTCAGAATTTTACAGTGAGTAAGATATCAATACTCAATAAATACTGAGTTGAGCTCTTATAGTTCACACTTTTAAGGTGAGTTTTCTCATGATACGATGCGATCCTGTATTTTATATTACTGATGAGTTTCATTTTAAACGTGGTTGACTATATAGGTCTACGTTTGAGGAGTAAAGCTGCAAGGCAAATGTCACTGATGACCATGTTAATTATTTACTAAGACTTTCATAGTGACTTTTTACAACTCAAAAATAATTACTATCAAGGCATACTGATTTTGTACTGAGTTCTCAGTGGGATCGTTTTTGGAGTTGTAGCGACGTCCAACTAGTAAATCCCAAACAAGGAAGAAAAGTGTTCAGTACATCTCTGGCTAATACCAGCTGCTAATAAAAATGACGACGAAACTGCATGAAGTATTCATGTAACATTTGCAATAAATTTCAATCTATTGTAGTCCATATTTAAATTCAACTTAGTATTGTTTGCTTGAATCTTCCCATCGATTTGTTAGGACTGCAACTGGTAGTCCATATTTGTTCAGTAAACACAACGGAGAACTTTGCTTTTTCGGATTGATATTTTACCGCTTATTTTATTCGAAACTATATTTTTCTTTCTTTATTGTACACTATATTAATAACTAATAATCGTGCTTACATTTAATCGTTTTCTAACGTCATTTGCAGGAATAAAAATTAACTGTAGTAATTAATAATGTTGTTTCCTTAGTCCAATGTAAAAATATAAGTGAATACAATTTGTTTAAGAAAAGCTAACTCATTATATTTTGGAGATTTATCGTTAACGCACTATTGTGAACAGAAAAAAAAGAAAATGGCCATGTGTCCAAAATCTATTTGTTAATAGAATTATCCTTTTATTAAATTTTCATTGGTAATAACTGTATTAATTGTATGTGCCTTTCATCGCATCTATGATTAGTACAGCTATCTAATACGATATATATTGTCTTTGAATTTTATGTAGTAGAAATTATAAAGTGTGTGTGTGTAATGAGGTGTACCAGCTGCAATAGTAATATTTATCTATTTGAATAATTGGCCAGACTATCATATGACCTATAAAAGGTAAAATAATGAATTGAATCACCAAATTCGGGAACCAATGAATCCTAATCAATCATCTAGACATTTCGCTGTCAGACCTGGTTTGGTTGTAGTGGATGCTACTCACAAGATTATTTGTAAGTAGTGTGTAGCGAAACGTGACTTAGAAGTTGCTACAATTGTCAGACGAAGTAAAGAGTTCCAGTAAATAGGAAGCACGTAACTTGCAGAACATACCGAATGATGCAAATGGATGACTGACGGCTATTTATATGTACGTTGTAACATGTAATAAATATATATTCCTCCTGCCAATTGTTATGTTTTAGATAATAAGTGGAAAAACTATCTTGCTTGACTTTCTGGTAAATGAACGATGTGTGTTCTAAAATTGAATCGATTTGGATTCAAGTATAGGGCGAACTAGTGAATTATCGATATAGGTCGCTTCACAGCTACATCAAATTAAGTTCATTTAGAATAAATAGCAGTGTGAAGATGTATGTATAAAATCGGATTGAAATGTTCCGAAATAAAAACAAGAACAGACTACAGGCAATGTAACAGTACAATTTCGAGGTAGGTTGCAAGTTTGACAAGTTATACACTTAAACAGTATCACCGACTAAAAACAAGACATGTTCGATGTTGATATCGTTGATAAAATTAAATGATTATCACACCATTATCAACTGACTAAATCTAAAAAAATAAATTGCTGGATGATGTATCCAATTATTTCTGCCAGACTACACAATCGATTAGCAGCAGTAAAGTATTTTATGAATTAATTATATAATCATGAGATAAATACAGTTAAATGATGGACAAATGTGTGGCGTAAGTGGATACTTTCAATAGTATTGAGTTTCATGAGTTAGACAATTCAATTGCGCAGTTTCCATTGTCATTGTGGACATTTTTCATGTACATGTGAGTTTTCTAATCACTACAAAAGCGTTAATTCACTTCATTTATTTAAATGCAGACGTTGTTCATAATAAACATGAAAGCTATGACATTGAATCATCTAGCCTAGAGAACCGAACACTAAAAACACTGTTAAGTGTATATATATTCAAAAAGCTATTAAATGAATTTGCTTGTAGTTTTTCACATTTCATATTATCTTCAACAAATCAGTACAATGAAAAATGTGGATAACTGAACTGTACACTCAGCACTTGTCAAACACACAAAATATACAATATATATATATATATATATATATATATATATATATATATATATATATATATATATATATATATATATATATATATATATATATATATATATATACAAGTAAACGATTCATATTCAAATTGAAACGAGTACGCAAATTAAAACTTTTCGAACACTAAAAAGTATTATTTACCAAGTGATTTGATCATTTGTTTTCTGATGTTTGATTCGAGCAGGCTCGCATAAATCTGCTACTGATTTTAAATTCACAACGCTCTGAGACGAAAAAAAGCGGAAACAACAAATAAGAAAATGAGTCAAAATTCATGCTAAAATATAATTAGCTGTTGAATATACAGCAGATAATTTACATCATAAACTGATGTCAACTGGAGAAATACTAGAACTGAAGGAAGTACATAATAGCCACTTCATTCAAATTGAGTACTTTCCAGAAAGATATATCTCCAACCTTATATAGGATTGAACTTACGTTATTTTAAGCACCATGATAAGCAAATCATGACAGTCAAATACCATAAGTAGAAGTAACTTTCTGTGCACTCATTATATTTATCTACTAAGTAATAGACGTGTGTGTTTAATATATGAAAAAATAGCCAGAACAGACAAACCAAGAGAAGAATTATCAACAATCATGATTGTAAATAAACTATATTTTCTTGTGCATTTGTGCTTAATAATGATGGAAACAAACAAACAAGCGAAATTTAAACAGATAACAAACTACGCACAAAACATTAAGCCATAAACACATATATAGAAATTATTAAGGAGTACAAAATCAAAGATATATAATGCGTAAGTGATAGGATACATGTGAATGTGAAACATTTAGTGATCAGAAAATGAGGTGAAATCAAACGATGAACACAGAAACACATCTAATATGAACAATACCAGATCTCCGGTACTCTGTGAAGCTCTAATATCCAATGGACTCTTGATACAGATTCTATCGTAATTATAATTATCATTGTTGTCGTTGTAATCAGTTGTTCGCCGATGACGAGAGAATTTCATACGAAAACTATGAATCCGACGCGTTTTATATTGATGTCGTTGATATTGACGTGCACTTCTACGCCATGGAACAACAGGTTCAAAAAGTGGGTTCGACCAACCTGATACAACACCATCTTCATCAGAATTAATTTCACAATTTACATTCAGTGAATCGTGCTGATGATTTAGATTAATTTTATGATTTATACAGTTTTGATGTAGCAAAGACAACCCAAACGAGTGTATAATCAAAACAAAATAGAGGAAAAATATAAAAGACATTATATTAATTGTCCACATATTGGCTTGTAAATATTAGTTATAATTTGATTATGTCATTATTGCTTAGTTGCATCGACTGGTAACCAAAGGGAGGGAGCAGAACTTCACATAGGATATGATCAGTGATAACTCCAACAAATGTGAACAGCAATAAGCAAAAACATCTGACTAACCGATAACCTAAAGTTTAAATGAATAGCTAGTTTTCAAATTACAATATAGAGATAACAGTGTTAAAGATTGAGACATGATGATCACGAATTCTAATAAAATAACTTCATAACATTTTGACGAGTGGAACTTTGAAGCAACTATGCAATTTTCAAGTTGAAAACTCAGTATGATAGCACTCTAAATATCATACTTCTTCCTATGAGTATCAATCTATTCGATTTTTCAAAACCATCTTGCCTCAGGTTTGACAGTAAAATAACTGTCACAACAAAAGAAAATGGTATTCTTGAGCTGATGTGACTCATAACCGAGTAGATATTTTCTTGGACATAAAGCTCCCACATGACGTACAGATATCAAAAAATAGAACACAATTATATACAAAACATTGGATAAAATAATACACGTAATGTTAAAGTTACTTAAAATACAATTGACTGCATGGTGTCAGTTTCCTAAATCCGATACCGCCTACGAAATTGAAATCTAACTATGAGACTTAATTCTCGCTTATCATGTCAATACTCAACCTGTTAAACTTTAACAAAACTTTCCCATAATCCCATATTCGAACATCATCTTGTTCACAAAAACCATTCGACTGGAGATCATTAGATAATTCCAATCAATTGAAGGAAGCATCGACTGATGATTTGAGACATATATGAAGTTCCAAGCTTCCTCATTAAGATTTCCTAGATAGTAGTAATGTATGACTAGAGATTGTAGGTAATATGGTTCGAAATTAACATTACGGTAGCATCTTACGACGTATTCTTTTTTGTTCAAATTTTACACTTTTTCATACATATTTTAGTTAGGAACCAATGTATTATTTCAAATGAATTTAAATTCATAATGGTGCGGACCGAACTCCCATTGAATATTTATACGCCATTTTATTCCTTATTAATTGATGCATGGTTAGTTTCTTCATTTTATTTTAATTTTTTCTCGCTGGGTTGACTTGATTAAAGCAATGAAAAGCCGGTATGTATTACTTTGCCTGTTGTATTTATACTGACTATTTTGTTGCAGGTTGGAACTCTTCTCTTTCTACTCTGATATGAATAGTAAGTTGGTACCACAGATCGCTTAAAAAACCGTGTTCATTCGAGATGTGTACACGAACCCCTTGGTCCGTGGTCAAAATAAACCATACAATCTGTATCCATTCAATACGACATCACAGACTAGAAACACATCTATAAACTCGAACCGAAAATGATTAGCGTTAGATTTTTAAGGAAATCCGATGTGCTCTGAAAATATTAGCAGTTATCTCTTGGGCGATCGAAGTCACTCATAAATATGCACTACATATAATTGATTAATATTATATATTGCAAATGATTACGTCCAACTGCATATTTGCATCTAATGTTTTTATTATTATTTAATCAAGTGGTTGAAAGAGCTGTTAGTTATGTCCATAACTAACCAATCAAATCGTTGCTTAGACGCCCACCACGCCAATCTGGTCTAATGTTTCTGTAGTCTATCCCTGTTTCATGTGACCTGCCAATTGAAGGACATTATTATATTATTACATTAGCGTGACTCATAAATTTTATTCATTTCGATACGACACGCAATACTGGTTGGTATGTTTGTGCGTTCCACTTAATGACTGTAATTCCTTTAATTATTGTACTAATCTAACTGTTTTTACGTTCAGAAACAGATAAAGTTTAAAGACAAGTTATCCTTGTTCTGACTACAGCTTTCACAGACTCTGGAGTCGCAATTATCGCGTTTAAAGTTCTAGTAGAATATCTGTAGGACGAATTGAACTGTTTTTGATATCCATCTAGAACAAAACACAATCAGTACAGTTCAAAACATTGAGCGAACTCATCATCAATGTGTGTATTAAAAACCCCATCATGGCATGTACTAATATGAAGAACAACTGTAATCGTTTAATTTTAAGCTGAGTCAAGGTTGTTGTCAGATGACTGGAAGATACTTTTATTGACCTTGAATAAACTGTCGACTGAACGCATACATAAAGTGCCTACAGAAACCAATCTAATGAGTCGCAAAATCCAGTAATCTATTATTCAAGTCTCTGTTTGTATAAAAAGTGTTTGAATCATTTTTAATGACTAGTAGAATAGTTAAGTGTAGTTTGTGATTATGTGAGCAGATTATGTCACATCAACTCATCTCAGAACAGAGAATATATGTAGTTGAACAGTAGATATAGAAGTAAATGCAAATCTAAAAGTACATCTAGGGCATCGACTTTCAAATGTTTTAAAAGCTAATGTGAGATTTTTATATATTTTCCATATTTCTACGATCTACCAAGTAGGTTATATTATACAACTACTAATATTACTAGCAGTAATATTGACGACAGATAGTAAGAATAAGAAAAAAAACAGTGAACTAAACAAAAAACGATGGTAACGAATTGCTAAAAATTAATGGCGATAACAGTAAGAACACAGTAAGCAAAAAACGTAACTAGTTTGTCACATGAACTTTAACCAAACCTAATCATGAAAAAAGACATAATTATATAGGATTGAGAATAACTTAGAATAGGGGTAACACTGGTAGGTGCAAACAAGACATTCCTTATCTAACAATAAAAAGCATGGATCAGCTGTTTATTGCATCAAGTGATTATTTATATGAACATTTATGAGGAATTATCCAACTGTAACTGTTATTTTGACATGGTGATAATCAGCCATGCTCAAGTGTAGTTAATCGGGAAGTAACAAATCGGCGAACATTTTTAAAATCACTTGATAAGATTTTGTCCATGGTTAAATCTGTTCTCTTTTCTTAATATTTCATCTATCCTTACAATCAATCCTTTTCTGATGGTTTCATCTTGATCCCCATGCGCCACAAACGTTAACTATTCAAATGTATGAAATGTTGTTTGTAGTCTCCGGAAAACGCGCACCAAACCTTATCACGAATCGAACAATAGACTTTACTAACTAAGACTCCAGAATCCCGTTCTATTGAAATATGCTACGTCTCTAAAACTGTCTTACAGAACTCGATTGTATTAATTCATCTAATCCCACTTAGGACAGAAATAGGCAAGATTTACCCTTCACATATCTGGGGATTTGACTTCGACTTCTCGTAGAGTTGGCGTAGGCAAATTATTAATTTCCAAAGTATAGCAAGCTCTCCTGGATTAGATTCCGGTAAACAGCTGCTTGTGCGCTGCCACAACAAATGTTATGATAAGAACCCGATAGAATAGGGATGTAGTTCCTCTTGACGCTCTCACTGACTGGAGTTCTGATGGAGAAAAAAGATTTACAGAAGGCTTTTAACCCCACTGTTCAAAAAGCTAAACCCTCAGACATAGTAAGTGGTTGTAATCCTGAAGCACAAAGATCTTTGCATGACGACTGTTGGTAGAAACCGACGATTTTAACACCTATATGGAAATCTCTTCACATGGAAAGGCGATTCGGTTAGAAGACATTTATAGAAAGCGGCGATTTCAGTGCAATGAGTTTAAAAAATACTTCACTGTAAAATAACTACTCGAATACAAATTTTTAAGCAATAGTTTATAAATAATTAACAGTAGTTTAGGGACGAAAAAAAAGATATGGCAACAATAAGTGAGAAGCCAAGGATGAAGATAATACCAAAACATCATACACCAAATATTTGGTAGACAAGCATTGAAAATATATATGCCAATTCACCGAACAATAACTCCCAAAGTTCGTCACTTATCTTTAGTCACCCAATCATAGCAACAAGTGACCAAGTTTGTTAAATACTCATATGGACATGCAGACCAAAAG